TTCCTATAGGAAATTTTCGTAAGGGTAGTTAAAAAGAAAAAAGCATATATTTAAAGTGTTTATATTTTGAGTCATATAATAAAGTATTAATTGATTGATGATATATTTTGGTGAATCAATTACATAGCCCCACTAGTTGAGAAGACAGACTAAAGCCTTTGATAGAAACGTAGAAAATTAAATCTGTTGCACATGTTGCAAGATTAACTAATTTTACCATGATCAGACAGTTCTTTCTGAGTATTTCTGATATTACATGGCCAAATTTTACTAATTAATTCAATTTTTCATGCTTGAGTGAGCAGCTTTGTTTCAGCAGCCATGAGCAGACATGTTGGCATGGAGATGCAATTTCAAGATGGCGTAAACAAAACATTGATAGATAATATCATCAAAGTTTCAAAAGTCTCTTTTCCACCCATTGTGCACACCAGTGAACGGGGGCTTTGTATTTCACGAAGAAGGAGACTAGTATTCATTGTGTTATGGCAGAATTGTTTAGCCTCCCGACATGTGCAACAGACTTGAAAGATAGAGCAAGACAGGTGACAGCCTGTCGAGTTTCTGCTTGTTTTTGAAGGTAGTAATATAACCACTCAGCAACCAAGCCCCTGAAGCAACTCTTTTATACTGTATTCTGTTATGCAATGCTAAGACACCTCCTCCATGTTTGTTAGAAGGGTGATCTTTTCTAATGATGTTGTACCCAGAAGGCAGTATTTTTGTTGTCACTGACATCATTCAGCCATGTTTCGGTTACTGATACGATATCCAAATTTTATGCATAAACAAGGTCTTGAAACGATTTGAGATCTTTTCGCTTGCTCATGCTTTGGAGACTTTGTGCATTGAATGGTAGGAAATTGTGAACATTGGGCTGTCCATTTATAACTGGACCTGGATTCGTAGCAATATCACTGCAAAGTAAAATACACAAAATTAAATAGTTGGGTCATCTACAGTGATTCCGTGACCGTGTAGAGCGAAGGTTCATTTATCAGTGGAGTTATCTTCTTTGAAGGTTAAATAACAAATTTAATTCCCATGCCCCTCGCAAATATGTGGGCATTCGTCGCAGGGGGGTCAAAAACCAAAATGGCCGCCATCTTGGAAACAATTGTTTATTGAACATTCAATTGTTTCGCTAATTATGCTCCACACTTTAGTTGGTTTATGTATATTTTTGAACGAGGAATTCATATTTGACATTTTTTAAAAGTTCTAACTTATTTTTAAACCTTCAAATCCAATTTGTCGGCCATTTTCATACAGAAATTACCATCATAGAGGCTTTACGACAGGCTAATGAAAAGAGAAACAATTTGGTGACTAATCGTGTATGTCGTCTATTACTAGTGTAAGGTATTGATAAATATACGTGTTGGAGTACACCAGAAAGCATGTGTATAAAGCTATCCACTTTATTTCAGGGAAGTACATCGCTACAATTTGTTTAAACAGTTTAATATGAATTTCAAACTTCATAATGTTTAGTTATGTAACTACTAAAATGTTAATCTTCATTCGAATCGGTTGATTCTCCGCACTCACTCATTTCATTGTCGCTGCTGCTCTCGTCCGTATTCTCATCTGAAGAATCCCAACGTGTGAGCTGCTCTGGCAAGGGAGGAAGGGTGTTCATAATTTCCCAGCCATGGCCAATTGGGGATGGGTGTTCTAGCAGGCTGTAATGACGCTGACAATATGTAATGTAGTTCGTCCTTTCAACGTGGAAATCTAACAAGTTGCTATCAGGTGGAAGGCACATTGTACTTTTCTTCTTCAGTTTGTGCCACTTGGATGCTCTGGCTTGCCCACAGCTAACATCCCCACTCTCAGCATACACATTGCACATAACAAATGCTTTCATATCAGCTCTGACTTCGTCATCTAATTCCACATCCTCTCCCACTCGTTTCAGAAGCTCACTTGAACACTCACTCCTGCAGCAGAATTTCAACCTGGGCTTGGGCGTCTGGGATTGCGGTCGTGAAGTCGTGTACCAACTCAGGTGACGCAATAACGCCAGATTGCAGTGACCTCAATGTAGGTAAAGAGGTGTCGAAGGGATCAGCACCAAAATCTTTCATGCATGCTTGGATGTCCTGAACTGCTTGCTCATCTTTCTTCATCCTTGCTGGTTGGCATTCAACATGCTTCTTATGGCGACGATGGCACTTGAGATTTCGAGTTACTGCAGCCTTCACCCTTGCAACGTTGTTTACGTTTCTTGTGGTAGAGAACAACTGCTTCTCATTCAACAGGAGCTGTAGCCAACCTTGCTTCAACTTCGAGTTTAGATTCATCGTCGTTTCAATCCAAAGGTACATCGGCTGACACGAGTAAGGTAGTCCTGTCATGGACTGCGCAAAGTGATCGTTGAAGAATGCCATTTGCTCATCTGGTAGTGAAGAGAGCATAGCCCAATAATCTGGCAACCATCTCCCATACTCATGGTTATCGTATGCCATTAGCCAAGGCAACATATCGTATGGTGATGATAAATACTCAGTTCCATTTCTGGCATGGCATGCATCGATATTCTGGACAAGAGGGTCTGACATCTCCATGAACGAGACCCAAAAGTCCCCCATGTCCATATCAGGTTCCTTATAGACTTGGTTAATCAATTCTTTGATGTCGTCATCATCCTCAAGATTACTGTGAGCTTTCTGTAGATCCTCTTGTGTCTCTGTGAATGCATTTCGCAAAGTGTCAAGGTTCTCCTTCACATCTGCTGACAGTTCCTGATGTTCAAGAATCGCTCTCAGTCGTTGATGGATGAGAATCTCTCTCCAGAGTACAATGCATCGCACACCCCGCCTGTAATGCTTCCCTCGAAGTGCTTGGTCAACAGAACCCTCCACAATCACCTCTGCTGCAACCAGAGTTTCTGCCATACCAGAACCCTTAAATCTTTTGTATATGGCATTGATGTAGGACATCTGCTGGTGAAATGCGCCAAGAATAGGGATAATGTCCCTAAACAGTTCAGAATTCTCCGCCTTAAGTTGCACAATCGTCTTATAAGTGGGCATATCGCCAACGAGAAAGGAGAATGGGATATTCTTCTCGCACATGGCCTTCACTAGTTTCACCATGATGTCATGCATAACTGGCTTGCTTGGAGGTTCGTTGTAGGTTGTGTGGTAATAAGGTTTGCTCTTGTGGCCTGGTGGATGGCGACAGGACTGAGCACCACTGTATGCTGGAACCTGCTGCTCATGAGGTGATGGTCTTGTACTGTCATTGTCTGCACGAGACATTGCGTGTATCACAGAGCGAGCGCGCTGCCTTGATGTGCCATTAACTGGCATATCTATCACAGGACGAGCTGGTGGCTCACTTTTGCTACCAGCGGGGCACTTGTACTGATGGACGTGGGTCAGCTCTGCACACATTTGACTGAGTTGTTCAGATATTTCCTTCTTGGTATGCCTTGTATCGGATTTCTCTTCATATTTTTCTGGTTGCACGAACATAACATTTGTCCGATGAGCTCCTGTTGCGTTGCCTGTAAGTGAATCGATTTTGAAGTCGTCGTTGTCGACAACCACAATTGCTGGCCTGCCATATGCGATCTCCTGAGGACAGGTTGTTGATGCTTTAACATCCATTAGAGCCCAATGGTCATAAAGGAGTAGCGTGTCGGCGTAGCTGATGCAGACACCACTTTTGTGCAGAGTTTCTACCAATTCTTTACTCCTCGTCATTCCATGGACATTGACTCCCAAGTTGATAACAGTAGTGGTACGTTGTCCAGTGACATGATAGGTTATCATAGAGGCCAGGCTGAGTGTGGAGGGACTGAGATCAACTGTTTTTCTTTTCGGCTGTTTCAACCACGTCAATAGTTTCAACAACAACTCACATAGTTCCTCTCCTTCTTCCAGATGATCGATCCGAGGTGGCCAGGGGACAGCAGATGTATCTTTAATCTTCTTAGAGAGCCGCTGTACCACGTTTTGGAGAAGCTGCTCGTCACTGATGCCAAAAGATGAGATGGCAGCTTCAATGTAGTTACCTCCTCCCCCAACATCATAGACCCACACGCTCTTGTTCATCTCACTTCTCTCTTTGAAGCCAATTGTGTCTTGATACTCATTAAGAAGCAGATCCTTGAGATACGACGACTTGATATCGCCCACTGCATAACCATAATCACTGACGATGTGCTTGTAGTCGGCCAAAAGCGACTGCAGTGAACGAATCTCGCGATTGGCAAAAATGATGGAGTCCACATGTCTAAAGAACAGACTCCTTGTCTCTGAGAGACAAACATGGGTGGCGTTTAAATGAATGCCATGCTGACTGTGTGTTGAGTCGAAACAACTTTCCTCTCGCTCTATTTGGGTGCTTCGAGTCTTCACCACGCATGCACCCTATGCACTTCGTTTTGTCGTGGAGAGGCCCACATACAGATGAATGCAGGCGCTTGGGTGCCGGTGTCCCTCTGTCTCGTCATCACACTGGACGTTCTGTGCCTGTGTTTCAGAACTTGATGTTGACAGTGGGCACTGATCAATCTCATGTTCTTTGCTTTTTCGCTGCCTGGCTTTTTCAAGCTTGTCTGAAGAAGAGATTGAGATATAACATGACTGATGGATATAATGATCCCTCCGCCCATCCTTCCACGAAGTGATCTCATAAACACTGCCAAATTTGTCAAGTCCTGACTAGTTACTGCTTTTTGATTGTAAACTTTCCCACTTAGCTTGGCTAATAATGTCAGAGGACTTGCACGGTTTACCACATTTCAATATGCAGTCATAAGACATTTTCCTGTATGTGAAAAACAAGTAGTACAATATTTACTGAAGAAAGTGTCTTTTTTAGACTAGTCATTGAACATCAGGCGCGGATCCAGACTGATGCAACTGATGCGAATGCATCAGTCAAAATTTTCACACGAACGAGAATTGTCAACATTTTATTAAAATATATTTAAATATTGTTTGTCTTTGATCCAAAGTCCTTTAAAACAATATATTTTCACAGGAATGAATGTAAACAAAGCTATATTTCGCAAAATATTATGAAAAACGTAAACGCATATCAAATTTCGCACTTATCAAGTTGTACGATTTTGTGTCGCGACTTTATTTCGCCACATATGTCGGTGTTTAGTTTGATGCATCCACTATCATTACAGCTCAGTGTATGCATCACTACGTCATGTTGGGGCCGGCAGTGCATCACTACGTCACGTTGGTGAGAAAAGTGCATCAGTGGCGCATCGGTCCCAAGTCTTTTGGCCGAGTTTTCCCAACGACACGTCACGAAAACCATTGTTTTCATGCCTACGTAACGTTGGGAAATGGATGCTGACTGATGCGTTTAGCCCGCGATCAAAATAATGCGCTTTTGACTGATGCATTTCGCCCGCAATCAGAACAGTCAGTGATAAATTTTATGGTCGAATTGTTATATTATGGCGGGAGTATTAATGGAACATTGTATGTCGCATTGTATGGAAATATTTTACGATCTTTGGTGGTTCACTCAAACTCACTGAGCCTCAAAGCCGTCGAAATTAAAAGGTTTGTCAGCTATTTCAGTAATTTCACAAGGGAATGTTTGGGATCTGTGTACTGTGTTTATAGATGTAGATTTTAAATGAGTGAGTCTGTGTGTGACTGTGTGTTGATATTTATAATAAATACTGTAGGTATAGGTATATTTGTCGTAGTATAAATATCACAATTTTACAAAATTTACTATATTTGAACTGTTTTAAATATGTCAACATGGATGATCCTGTTTTGGCTGTTCACATATGAACACTCAATATGCCATTCAGCCATTATATAGTGTGTGTGTAGGGGGGGGGGGTGGAGGTTGTGTCTTAATTTGTCTGAAAATGCAAATTGAATCTAGATGCTTCATAATATTTTGCAGTTCTCCCTGATGTTATATTGTAAGAAACAATATAGATATGTAATGTGAACGTTAATACTTATAGGAAACTATTATGAAATATATACATCGCTTCATCTATGCCTCGTGTCTCTGTGTCTGTCCTTCCCCGTAAGTCCTCTTCCCCGAATCCTGCTACCAGTTCACTTCCGTCTATACGCACTTCCGCTACTAGAACACAACATCTCCCTTTTACTTTAGAATATGAAATATACTTATGCAAACAATCATGCACCTAAATTATGACCAAAATTCAATAGTTCTGGTTTAAATGTCAACCTAAACAATAGTACCAATATTTTAACAGTTAAGTTTCTTCGCGCAAGAACCGAGGTCTTCTTCGTACTCTTGCCGGATACCTTCGTGGAATATCTTGTGGCTGTTCGTTATTATCTTCATCGTCCGTTACATCGCTAGCGCTGTCGTCGCATTCCTGTTCATCAGCACTTTCGTCTTTCGAGTAAAATCTTTTGAAATGCGATACGTTTCTGGTGGTAGTGAGATCGTGTCTCGCTGCGGTTATCTTTGTGCCATTAACTTTCGTTACAGTCAAAGGTGTTGGATCAAAAACAGTACTAAATTTGTTTTTTCGTTCTTGTTTCACCAAAACTTTCATTCCTACTTCGATGTTTGCTTTCCGAGCTCGTCGTCTTTTATCTGTATACTGCTGCGCTTTCGACTGCTTCTCTGACGTATTTATCTTAGCCTGTTCGTGTAAAATCTTGTAATCAATATCCCCCTCTTTTACAAAAGTTGGCATGTTCGTACGAACTTCGCGATTGAACAACAGTTGACTTGGTGTTACCCCGGTGGTACAGTGTGGTGTAGTTCTGTAAGCTAACAGAAAACCATGTAGCTCTTCTTTCCAATCCTTTCCTTCCATTTTCGCTGCTTTTACAGCCTTACCAAGGGGCTTCATGAACGACTCGGCTTCCCCGTTGGCCTGTGGCCAATAAGGTGTTACAAGCCGGTGATTTATTCCGCAATTTCGCATGAATTTCTTCACTGCATCACTAGCAAACGGTGGACCATTGTCCGAGTAGATTTCAGTGGGAATGCCATGAACTGCGAAAATTCTGTCCAGGCGATTCGTGACGGCGCTGGCAGTAGTGGATTTCATTATTTCCACTTCTGGGAACTTTGAATATGAATCAATGACAACAAAAAGTGTTTCCCCCATGGGAAATGGACCGCAAAAATCCATGTGAAGTCTATCCCATGGTTTGGAGGGCAATTTGTGTTGTTGAAGAGGCGGTGGCGGATCACCATGCCCGAGAGACTGGCATGCGTGACAATGCTTAATAAACTCTTCCGCATCTTTGTCAATTCGCGGCCACCACACTTTTGTCCTCAGGGCTTGTTTTGTTTTGACAATGCCCTGATGACCTTTGTGGGCATGTGTCATGGTTTCATTTCTAAGCCTTGTTGGAATGATCAACTTATTTGCACGGAGCAAGAGACTGTTTGGTGTGACAGCGAGTTCTTCTCTCACTGCATAAAAGGGATGATGCTTTGCCCAGACACCCGATTGGATACATTCAATCGCTGATTGCATTTCTGGATCAACTGCAGTTGCTGCAATAATGGACTCGATACTCATGGCCTTGGGGATGGTGTTCTTCTCTATAAAATTGATATATTGTTCAGCAATGTCACAATGTTCAGTGTATACTACAGGTAGTGGTTGTCTAGAAAGTAGATCAGCAGGGTTGCCTTCGCCTTTGCGATATATTATATTAAATTTGTATTGTTGTAAGCGAAGAGCCCACCGTTGAATCCGAGCAGGTGGTTTGGATTTGGGTGAATACATTATCTCAAGGGCTTTGTGATCGGTGCAAATTGTGAATTCTGCACCAATTAGGTACATGTGAAACCGTTCGCAACCCCAGACAACGGCTAAGGCCTCTCGTTCGGTTTGTGAATACCGTTGTTCAGTTAGAGTGAGTGACCTACTGGCATATGCTACATTATGCAAATTACCTGCTCTGTCAATGTTCGACAATATTGCTCCAAGACCTGTGGGGCTTGCATCGACTGTTAGACATGTTTTCTGATTTGGGTCATAAAAATGCATGATACAGTCTTTCTGTATAGCTTCTTTAATAGCAGCAAATGCTGCTGTGTGTCTAGGTGTCCATGCATAGGGTGTTTTGGCTACAGTAAGTTCTCGCAAGGGGGATGTAAGAGTTGAAAAGTTCTTGATGAATCTGGAACAATAATTTGCTAGCCCTAGGAAACTACGGAGTTCTTTTGTGTCCTTTGGTTCCTTAGCATGCTTAATTGCATCAACTTTCCTTGGATCAACTTTTATGCCTGAATCAGTAAGGAGAAAGCCATAGAACCAAAGTTCTCTCTGATCAAATAGACATTTGTCATTATTTACGGTTAAGCCGGACTCGTCTAAGCGAGCAAATAACTGCTCTAACCGTAAATTATGTTCCTGTTGTGTTGACCCCCAAACAATTATATCATCCGCGATGTTACGAACTCCGTCTATCCCTCGAATGGCATTCTCGATAGCATGCTGAAATACCTCGCTGGCCGAGTTGATACCGAAAGGTAATCGTTTATAGCGAAACAATCCACGATGCGTAATAAATGTAGTAATGGACCTGGAACTTTTCTCAAGGGGAATTTGGTGATACCCAGCCTTCAAATCAATCTTACTGTATTTAATTGCCCCATTCATACTTTCCATCAGTTCGTCAACTGCAGGAATTGGGTGTTTTTCTCTTTTTATAGCTGTGTTTGCTTGGCGGTAGTCGCCGCATACTCTTACTTCATTGGGGTTTCTGGGTTTTGGTGCAAGAACTAGTCCACTCACCCAGTCAGTGCTCTCATCAGATACAGGCTCAATTATATCTTTTTGTAAGTAATCGTCAAGCCAGGTGTCTAACTGTTTGCGTAAATGAAATGGAACACGCCTGTTCGTTTGGGCAACAGGGGGTACATTGGTATTTATGTGAATCTTTTGTTCATGCCCCTTTAGTTTACCAATTCCTGTAAATACATTAGGGTGCCTACCTTTCAATAGGTTTTCTTTTCTTTTACTCGCATCCAAATCACAGCTACTCGTATCAGTTCCAGAGTCCGACTTGACAGCCGATACTTTCGACACAGAATTAACATTCATGGTAATCAAACGCAAATTAGTAGACGTCTCACAACCGAGAATTGAAGTAGTGCCTTGAGTTCCCTTTGTGACATAAAATGTAGCGGCAGCAACACGACGCTTTCAGTCAACTAGAACTTCAAACTTTCCTTTCAACTCAACTGGTTCTGAAGAGCCAAACGCATAGATTCTAGTTTTAGTTTTTCGTAAAGAGATTTGGTCATTTGAATTTGTACAGAGAAACTCATAGTCCTTTTGTGTCAAAATGTTCACTGAAGCTCCGGTGTCAATCAAAAACTCTACTTTCACCCCATTAATTTTGAGTTTTGTCATGGGTGGTTGCTTCACTTTCTTGGCTCTTGAAACAGCAAATATATCCTCATTGCTATCACTGTCGCTTACTTCCGGTTCACCTTGTACTGTTGGCTCAGTAGAGAGTGGTTGCTGTTGCCGATTTTGGTTCAAAGCATTCAACTTGTTTGCCTTCGATTTATATTGGTCCTGAGGCATTCGAGGTTTTCGAGAGATTGGTTTTTGTTCAGACTTACAAACTCGACCGAAATGTCCAGTTTTTGAGCAATTATGACAGGTCTTGCCTGCAGCGGGGCAGGGCCTGCCTTGGTGGGGGTACGTCCCTCCACAATTATAACAAGTTTGTGCTTGTTTACCTTCTACATCCCTTGGCGGAAAATCTCGTCTGGTGTTTTGATACACAGCCTCCTGACGGTGTTGCTTTTCCATTTCTTCAGCATGGTGATCAGAAATTTCCAGTGCTCTCGCGTATTTAATCAAATCATCCAGCTTGGGGTCATCCCGAAATGCTTTCCTTCTGAGTCGACTAGACCTGCAGTTTTCCACGATTTGTGTTTTAATCTCGTCCTCTACATTATCGAATTCGCATGTCGAGGCACGATGTCTCAGTCGTGTACAGAATTGGTCAATTGTGTTTCGTCAGATCGCTGGCTGACTTGGCGAAAAATATGTCGCTCGTATAGAATGTTTTTCTTCGGCGCGAAATACTCTGTCAAGTTCTCTATGGCTTTATCGAAGTCGTTCTCTTCTCCCGTATCAGAGAGCGTGGCAAATATTGTTTCCACCTTTGGACCGGCCAGGTATAACAATAGAGCTCGTTTCCTTGCTTTGTCTTTGATGTCAAAAGCGACTATACATCGTTTGAATCGTTGCAGCCATTCTTTCCACTGCGAAGCCAGCAAACTTGGCTCTGAATGAGGATCAAACTGTTGAATTCCCGAGAAATCTAATCCTGCCATAGTAATCGAATGTTGAGGTTATCCTCGTCGCCAATGTTATATTGTAAGAAACAATATAGATATGTAATGTGAACGTTAATACTTATAGGAAACTATTATGAAATATATACATCGCTTCATCTATGCCTCGTGTCTCTGTGTCTGTCCTTCCCCGTAAGTCCTCTTCCCTGAATCCCGCTACCAGTTCACTTCCGTCTATACGCACTTCCGCTACTAGAACACAACAACACGCATGCGTATTGCACCCATTTTATTATTGACCGGTCAATAAATGTTTCATTGTGGACCGGTTGCCTCCTCGGGAAAGCATGCAGTGAACGTCATGTTTTGTGGACCGGCACGTGATATGGTTTTGACCAATCGGCAAACAGGAAAATTGAACTTTGACACTAACTATACTGAACAAATGTATGTTGTTGACTTCAGGGGATTACGTCCTAAAATCCGGCTTGAAAAACCTGCAAAAGCATTAAATGACAGTTGCAATGCGGCATATGTCAATTTAGTACGGCGATTTCAAAGCCGGTGCAAATCGCCATTTTATGTGTAGCTTCCAGAAAAAACGTATTGCATCAAATGTCGTGGGAGTTGTTTTTTTCTTGGGGGGAGGGGTGTGTGTGGGGGGGAGGGCTTTCCTCAGATCCGGCGAGTTCCTAAACAGTTATTTTTGTATATGGCCTAATGAGTTTGCCTGGGACTGGCTGGTCGATAGCTAATCAAAGTTAAGACTATATTATAGACGAGAGTTGTATGTCACGCGTACCCGTAAGAACCGTAACCAAGCTACGGATTGAGAAGGTTCAAGTCATCCACGTTCCCAGGTACTCTCCCGCGCGCGACCTTTATAGACCCTGGGATACACGGAACCGGAAGTGCAAGAAAACTGCAATAGTTTCTAAAGCGCATATCTTGAATTTGGACGATTAATTTAATTAGCACCCATAACAATTTCCACCGAGAAGCCATTATGAAGAAACGAAGTATTTGTGATGACATATTTTGATAGAATAATTTTGCCTAGCGATCGAAAACTGCTCAGCATCTGCGAAATAGTAGTTCTCTGAGAAGCGAGTCGGATCTCTCCCTTTAGTCGTCTAACCCAGAGCCTAATTTTCAACGTGTGACCGAGTGAAAATGGCTCTGGGGACGAGAATGGATTCAACTGGGACACCTCGTGCCCAGGGCTTCTGCGCAGAACTGGGTACGAGCTGTTGCAACTGGGAGGGAAAAATTCAAGTAAAACGTCGGCGTTTCGAGCAAAGGCCCTTCGCTGGGAAGTTAGCAGCATGCATGCATACTATAACAAAATTTCTTGCGATTCACCATCGTTGTCGCTGGATTTTTTTTTGTGATATAACCTCGAACGGTAGATCTCTGCCAGCATAGGTAGCGACAATAGCACACTGCTTTTATAGGCAACATCAATCTCGTTTCCCGAGCCCGCGATCCTCGGGAAGGAACGTGAGGCTCTGGGATAATCCGTTTCAGGGAGGAATCTGATTGGCCGTTGAAATGGAATGTGCAGTTCAATCTTAGCCAGAATTCCTGGCTTCCGGCAACGTATTATCCCAGAGCCTCACGTTCCTTCCCGAGGATCGCAGACTCGGGAAACGAGATTGAGGTAACATAAAAGGTCATAAAACGTAATTTAAATAATCAGGTAATTTGACCGTTACACCCCCCCCCCCCTCGCGCCGCCTGCAACTACGAATAAGGAGCACAACCACATCTACTACAATTGACTCCAACGGTCCTCAATCTTTCTCATACTATCTTGTGCCGGATTAACTTTTCCGGGGGCAAAACTATTTTATTTGAAAAAGTCCGATTTCTCCGGCTAGATCGGACATATAAAACTCATATTGCAGTTCCTCTGCTTAGAAAATGTCTCAGTTTTGCTTAACATCGTATATATTTGTTACTGTAAACACCGAGGTAAGCGAGGTTCAGTTTAATTAACCAACGAGTTTAATTATTCATAGAGCACATTATATAAACTTCTAAAGGAAAACTATAAATTATTTTTTGTTCGTTTTTTTTTGGCCGGTGGAAATCTAGGGGCGGGGGACAAATGCCCCTTTTGCCCCTTAGATAATCCGGCACTGATAGGCATTTGTCAATCTTAATTAGTATAGGTAATAATCATGCGATGGCGCGGCGGCTCGTCCAATTATGCCAAACATTACGAGTATTATTAATCCCCATTTGTACGAGCAGCATCGCATGATTACTTATTTATTATTAGCATGACAAAATTGGATACTTCTGAATGTCAACATCATACTCACTCGCCAATGCCCAGTCCTGCCAGACTTTAAACCAAACTTGGTGCTTTTGTTCGTATTTTCATTTAGTTCTTTTGTTAAAGCAAAATTTGGTGCTTTTGTTCGTATTTTCATCTAGTCCTCTAGGAAAATTTCATTTCACATTTGTGTTTAAAATACCTTTCCACCATTTTGTTTGTTTTGAGATGATTAATTGTACTGCAGTACAATTAATGAAATAATTGCACTCTTCTCAACCAATCAGCATGAATCCAGTAATTTTGTCATGCTAATAATAAACTGTGTATATACTGCACTTTCTCGTCGTTTTTACTTTAATTAATACTTAGTTTGTAACTTATTACTATCAGTAATTTATGCTAATTGTTATCTTGTAAAACGGTAACATAGTGATCTTCATCTAAAAACCTTAAACGGTTTTAAATATAACTCCATGCATATACTGGCCCGTTTTAAGTTCAACATTATGCTTAATATCAGTTTCTTTTTTGAAAATAATTATATAACCTGTATATATTATATGGCAAGCATCACTTCCGGTGAAATGTGATTGGCTGAGAAGCACTTTCAGCAGTCCATTATTTTCCCTAATGATATAGGCAGATCTAGAACAATTAACTTTATTAATCATAATTGACAGTCACAGTCCAGTCATATTTCATGCCAAGACATGTCACAGTTTCAAGGTGCCGGCAAGCTATCCGACCCACTAATTTGCCAAATCCCATTCCCAATAGCACATGCAATTGCTGGTGCAAATCCTATTCCCAGCGATTCCAATCCCATGAATGCATTTCGATCCCCACGTACTGAAAAAAAGAAAATCCCATAAGTTCCAATTCTAGCCCCTCAGATACTAACTTAGTTTTATTTTGATACCGGAATTTATAAAAATATCACAAAGCCTGCAAAACTATATATAGGCCACGTTGTACGTGAACAAATATTTCGAATCATGTGAATGATATCAGTTCAAGGTTAAATGTTGCAAGTTAGAGCATATTAAGTGTTAGTGTATTTGGGAAATCGGCAAAAGTAGACTAATGACGTACCTGGGCAACTATGTTGTGCCTCCTGTTCAAGACATGTGAGTGACATCAGTTCAAGGTTCAATGTTGCAAGTTACAGCATATTAAGCCTTCGGTAAATTACACAGTACGAAATGACAAGTTTAATCACCTTTAAATCCAAAAGTAGGTTAGTGACGACTTTAATCAAGTTTTCTTTACAGCTGCTGTAAAGCCGTCATTTGATACTCCTTTAACGTTGTGGTTTAAAGGTCGAGATGAAGTTGATCTCACCGCTTTATACTTTTTCAGGTACGTCCGAGGGAAGAGGAGGGGGATTAATGGAGAGGTGTTAATTGATTTACCTGAAATGCAGTAAGTTAGAAGTGAACTGATAAGCTGACGTCGACTAGTCCACAATAATTACACTCGTGTTTCCTTGTTCAATTGTGTATAGGGTGAATGAATGAAGTTTACTTGAGGTTGATATATAAAGAGGACGACTTATGTTTTTTATCTGAAGGAGAAGTTGCAATAGGCTAATTTGAAACGGGGACTTATTTCAGAGGAGGACTCAACAGGGACATACGGTAAGCTATTACTAGTTGATTTAGTTCACACTTAGCACACTTTGAGATCAATCCAATGAAATTGAGGAATGCGAGATCAAGGAATGAATACATATTGACACTGAAGATATATGGACAGAAACAATTTGTAAATTTATATGGTTATATTTCGACTATCCCATTCAGCTGATTTCAGAATCATCAGACCATGACGAATCTCTAATAAATTGAAGTATATACTGTATAATATTAATCACCTAAATTTACATCTTCAGTTTAGTCCATGCCATATCTTGGGTCTGAGTTTCATTAACTGTTTTGGTTTTTCGGTTTTAATTTATTTATATATTATATTTTTTTAAATGTTGGCTGGTTCTGGCTTTCGGAAAATGTGTCCCCAAATCATTGCCAAAACATGCAGACGTTCACTATTTAGGTTTGGCTTATAGTTACTATTGAATTATACTTATTTATTTAACATTGCTAAGGAACATGGTACATATTTAATACATGCACAATCGGCAAATGGCAGGGTGCACGCTATATACAGCTTTCGCAACTTGAGCGGTCGTACTATATAGATTAAGATACGAACGAACTATAATTAAATTAATAATTAACACGATATATTTCACAGGACAGATTACAAAACTACGTCGTAACTTTTTTAAAGCTAATTGATAGCATGCACTTGAAAAGTCTATTTTTGACCGATTTAATTTAAGCTATATATAGTGTTATTGCCTGTCAAATCCCTTGGCAGTACATTCCACAATCTATATAGCCTATCTGTTTAAAAAGGATGTGGCTCAGTTAAACCTTTGCGAGCTAGTCCGGTTCAGTAAGGCTGGGAATCAAACACCAGTTGGCAGATGTCAAAAATACAAGTTGAAATATCGGCTGCACAGACGCCTTCCCCCGCAATTCTGAGGAGTTCTCAAAATAGGCTCTAGCGACTTTTTCCTTTGGCTTTGTCAGTATCGCTTCTGCTGACCTGCATGATAAGCGATGTCGACAAAGTTAAAAGTCGCTTCTAGCGAAGAAGTTCGCCGGTGGAAAACAGGCTTAAACCATGTGCTGTTTTATATATCTAAGGGGAAAAAGTGAAAGTGCAGATCTGCTGAATTGGGAAGGACGCA